AGGCTCAGAACTAGCACACTTTGACTTCTACATCCTTATATTGGCCAAAATAAGCATCATGCCTGACCCCACTATTAGGAAGCAGGAAGAAATTGTGCTCCTTTAGAGGTTTGAATATCAGAATCACACAGGAAAGGGTGCAGAGAACATGAAGTATTCAGGGAAGTGGGGCAATAGATCACAGATGAGAGGAAATGATTTTGAGCAGAATTAATGCCCTACCCAGGCACAGACCCCTGATGCCACAATGCAGGCTTCATTTGACTTTGCAGCTGTCTGAAAATGAAATAGCAGTGGTTGTAGCTAGTCACTGTTGCAACAAATTAGAATCCTACGTAGTAGACCCTGAGAGGGACAATTCTTGGCTTGGGAAGGTATATGCATCAGACTTGCAAGGGGTGCTCATCTTCTCCTCTCTATACCCAGCAGTGAATTTGGCTAGGCTCTGAGGTGGCAGGAAAATTAGGCTTGTGTCTGACATCAGATTTTATTTGATCTTAATTCACTCATGCTCAGTTTTCCTTTATTTTTGTTATAAGTAAAATATAAAACACTTAATAGAGGAGCATATTTATTTAATTATTTGATTCAGAGCCACATAGGCTTTATAGGGGAAACTATCAGCATCAAGATTTCTTCTATTACTTTAAAAACTGCTATATTTAGATTTGACGCTCTGTGGTTACATGCTAGGATTCATTACATGGATTTTAAGCACAGTGTGTTTAAAATAAAGAGCCAGGAACAAGTTCTCATTATATTATCTGGACTGAAAATGATTTCTTATAACATTGCACAGTTTAAAAAAGTTCCAGCCACTGTCAAAATGTAGTCAGATGGTTTGCCTAGGTTGTAGCTGTAACTTCTGATAAGTGATTTATTTCTCAGTCCAGGACTGCTCTCAACCAAACTTCATAGAAGTCCCCAAACAAATCCAAAAATAGATCATGATGAAAATTTAAGAAATTTTCCTTCTTCATATTTGAACAAGGATGTAAACGATTTACTCACTATTGGACTTCATGTTCTTCTTTTCTGATTTGTGTCTTGGCCGAGGAGTCCCTAAAAGTACCCAAAAGAACACAGGCCCAAGAGCTATTACTAAGGGTTGTGCTGCCGATTGTGAATGACAGACCTCTGGAGACATGGGACATGGAGATCCTCTTGGAACTCTTTGTCAATGCTTAGGTTATTAGTCTCTTTATTGTATTTACATATTTACTTTATATATATATATATTTATATATATATTTAAAAATGAGAAATGTATTCATTACCTTGCTCATGTAACTGTAACCCCTCCTCTGTACAGTATTCTCACAACTTATTAAACTTATTTTTAAAATGCCAGTTCTGGGGCTTGAGCGCTGGGCCTGATGTTCTTGCTCAATATTTCAGCCCATGGCTGGTACTTTGACAGTCTGTCATTTTGCTGATAAATTAGAGATAGAATCTCTCAGACTTTTTCTGCCTATGTTGGCTTTGAACCAATGTCTTCTAGGTTTCAAACTCCTGAGTAGCTAGAATTATAGGCATGAGCTACCAGTGCTTGGAAAGGTTTTTCACCTTTACTCTCCATTTATGCTCTGGTTTTCTTTCTAAATCTCCAAACCAAATGTGACTTCTTGGTCTTCAAATGAAAAGCTTGTCTTTCCTGCTTTCTAAAGTAAATGTACCTTCTTACCATATTGACTTGGCTCCTAGAAGTGATTGAATTTCTCCTTTCCTTAACAATTCTCCACACTTACACATAAACACATGCACACACAAATATGTGTATACATCACATCTTTGACAGAGCCTGTGAGATTTGTGAACTGCCAGCCACACACCAACACCCAGACGAACCTACTGACCTTTTTGTAAAGTTGCACAAACAGGAAAAACTTAAGTCTGGATTCTCATGCAGATTCCAAACATGGTTTATTGGATGGAAAAAATGGTTTTAGTTTGTTTATTCTTAGAAACTAGTTGTGTTATGACCATAAGAGAATGTATGTCTCAGCAAGCACTAACCATTTTTGAGAAGCAAACAGACCAAAATAGGGAACTACTTGTTCTAAAAACCTACAGAACACATTATTTTCTGAGTTAAAAGTTAACAGGAGATACTAACAGGAGACCAGACATGGAAAAAACTCAGTAGTAGTAAACTAGAGAACTATCTTCAGAAATACTTCCAGAACAAAATAAGAAAGGGGTTGAAGCAATGAGGAAGAAGAGAGCAGAAATGGTGGTAGAGAGGGAACTGAAGAAATACAACTAAAGTCAGAGATTTTCTAAAACAAAATCCTTGTTTTTTATTTATCTGTTTCTTTTCAAAGAGTGGTGGTCTGGATTGAGCCCAGAGTCTCTTTCATCTAAGTGTGTGCTTTACCACAGAGCTACATTCACAGCTGTTCACATAATCTTTTTCTAAACTTAAAAAAGGATCTAGAAATTGAGAGAATTCATTTTTCCAAACAAAAATATATGGAAAGAGATGACTAAATACACCTTGGTAAAAATTTAAAAAGAGCTATCAAAGAAACCATTATTATAAACATCAAAGAAAAGTGGACACGGACACACACACACACACACACACACACACACACACACAAACTTTAAAAATATACTAGCAGCAGCACCAGTGACCTGTAAACCAAAAGTGGCCTCAGGTAATGCAAGGAAGAACTGGATCAAATTTTCAGTGCTTTGAGGGTAAACAAACTGCGGATGAGTTGTTTTTTTGTACATGGGTCATTGGAAATGCTTTCAAATCTGCAAGAAAACTTAAAATATATTTTTTTGTAAATTGCTCAAAGAAACACATTACTTTAGTACATTGATGCAAAGCATGAATAAAGCAATACAAATGAGGAAATCAAGGGAGGGGCATCTTAAAGAATTAAAACCAGGGGTTGGGAAGGTGATTCAGTGGTAGAGCGCTTGCCTTGCATGCCTGACGCCCTGGGTTCGATTCCTCAGCACCACATAAGCAAAAGAAAAAAGCCAGAAGTGACGCTGTGGCTCAAGTGGTAGAGTGCTAGCCTTGAGCTGAAGAGTTGAGGGATAGCGCCCAGGCCCAGAGTTCAGGCCCCACAAATGGACCCCCCCCCAAAAAAAATTAAAACCATAATTACCATTACGATTGGTTTCATATATGAACATACATATACACACTTATATATGTAAATTTAAAGCAAAACCACTTCACAAAAAGGTAAATGAGGCCAGGTGCAGTGATGCTACCAGTAAGCCAACTCCTCAGCTCCTCTTTTTAAAATATTGTTTTTATATATTATCCAAATTCTCTATAATTGGAAATGAATTACTTTTATTAAGAACAATAAGTTTTCCATTTTACTGGACATTGATGAAAGTGAACCACATAACTCATGGATGGAGATGGGAAGGAGGGAATGTAGAGAATGAGGGAACAGATGATGCTATGCAAAAGGAAGGAAATTTACTCATTACCTGTTGTATATAAAGGTAACCCCACTGTATATATCACCTCTAAAACAACAATAAAGTAATTAAAATAAAATAAAAAACAAAAAACAGTGAGTTTTCCATTTTAAAGTGTGTCATTAAAACGAGTGAAGAATCTGATAGAAAGTTTTGAGTTTCGAAGTTGATTATAAGCACCCAAAGGTGCACACTCCCATCTTGCATTCAGTCTATGTGTGACCTAAGAACCAGTGGGTTTATGTGGGATTATTCTACATGTAAGATTCTCTAATGGTTTCAGAACTCAGCATGATCTTATAAGCCTCAAAAACATCTGGCAACCAAATAAGAAAGTTAAAAACAAAGTTACAAAGACAAATGCAATAGCAATTGTGAGAGAGAGGCAAGAGGGTTGTAAATTCAAGGCCTGCCTGGGATCCATAGTGAGACCCTGTCTTAATAAAAATTCTACCAACAGCCCTGAGCACAGGATAGGTATTAGTAAAAAATAATGTTATATAAAATGAAGAACTCTATTTAAAATGAGATACATTTTTGCTCCTTTCTCCCAACATTGCCAACTTGTTATTGAGACTTACATTTGCTTAACCCCCTCCAAAAATATTGATACAATTTAAGAAACAAAAACACTCACTGGTATTTGAGCTTTTTTAAATGCATGTTACCTCAATTTTAACGGATGTCTAAAATTATACTACTATGAGGAGTAGACTGTTAATAATGTACAGAAATTGCTCTTACCTGCATAAGAAAATTTTTCTGTTTGGCTAGACTCAAATAGCCCAAAATCCAGTGCAACAGGCCATTCTGAATTTCAAGCTAAGTGAATTAAAATGATTATGTACCTTGTACTACATGTCAAAATCAGAAAAAAAAATATTTGATGCAAATTGAAGGTTAGAGTAGTAATAAAAAGAAAACAAGATATCGTTTACATTTAATTTGGAAAAAATAGGGTCATGGCTTTCAATGCTGATGTACTTCTCTTTTAGAAAATATATCAAAAAACCAATTTACAAAGCAGATGAATTCGGCAGTAATTATACTGTCATAAGATTCTTTCATTTCAAAAGAATTTATTTTTAGGGTTCAGTGTGCTGATTTGTCATCAGGAACTTGAGAGAAACGAGAGGAATTTACAGCTAAGATGTTCTGTACCATTGCCAATTAAAAATGACCAAAATGAGGATAATGTATTTTTCTGTGTAACTGAGTATGAAAGAGGGCATTTGATTTGATTTCTAAAAATGGAGTGTTTGTGGAACTTTTGAGATCTATCCAGTTTATAAAGAAGACTCACCTGGAACTTGTTTTTTTTTTTTTTTAATCACTTCAGACTTATTCCTGAATAGGACTTTTGAAAATAAGTGGACCATTTTCCTTTTACATTCTGTAGAGAAAATTTAAGGTTTCTTAGTCATTAAATACATGTCCAATTCCTCCAAGGTAAACTGAAAAGAAGCTACTCTTTAAACTCTTTATTTATTTATATTTTTTGCTGCAAAAAGGTTTATTTCATTTGATACAAGGCTGGGGATGGGCTCCAGGATGGTTAGTTAGGAAGTTTCCCAATGGCTAGAGGCAGAAGCTCAGGCGGAAACCCTGATATCTGGCAAGGCAGAGATGGCCCTCAAAGGCTGCTGGACTCTCGTGTTCTCTAGTCGTGCTTGAGGGTGAGTCGTTCGAAGAGATACTCGCCTATTCCTGCCTGAGGGGCAGCCAGCCTGTGGAGGTTGGTTAAGTGGTCGCCCATCTTCTTGATGAGCTTCACCTCTTCATCCAGGAAATGGTTCTCCAGGAAGTCACAGAGATGGGAGTCTGTGCAAGCAGAACCCATGGCATGAAGATCCAAAATGGCTTGGTTTAGGTTCTTCTCCAGGGCCAGGGCGGCTTCCATGGCCTCCACGGTTTTACCCCACTCATCCTGAGAAGGTTTCTGCACATCCTGGAACAGCGCGCGGCCGCCGCACTGGTTCTGCATCTTCAGGAGGCGCTGGGCGCCCTCATGCTTCTCCTCCGCCAACTCGCAGAAGAAATGGCCCACGCACACCAGAGCCACATCATCGCGATCGAAACAGTAGCCCAGAGAGGGTAGGTGTAGGAGGCCTGCAAATGCAAGTTGACCAGGCTGTTGACAGCAGCCTCCACCTCGGTGGAGTAATTCTGACGAATCTGAGAGGTCATGGCTGGTCATGGATACAGAGCTAACCACAGAAAAACACGGCGTTGGTTGGTCCTGGAAGAAGGCAATGGGCGAGAAGATCAGGGTCAGAGGTGGTGAATGAAGAGGCAGTTGGTGGTGGAAAGGAGGAGTCCCGGGGTCTGTTCCGTCCAAACACTGTTGAAGCAAGACACAGATCCGCGGGACTGGTGCACACTTCTGCTTCTTTAAAGTCTTTAAAACAACTTGATATGATCTCCCTTGTGAGATGACGAAAATAAAAACTGCTCTCATTTATTGAGTATTCGTAGTTCCAGGCACTATACTGAATGCTTTTCATAGCCTCAGTTTTTCATCTATTCGGCAAACTTTTATTCAGCTTGCTTTGTTCTAGAGACTACACTATTTATGGTATTACAGTGAACAAAATAGGACAACTCAGCCTTACCCCAAGTGGAAGTTTCTTCTGGGAATGGGGGAACATGAAGATGATGTGTAAAATAAGGAATTTTCTAGTAAAGTATGATGAATGTCATTGAAGAAAAGAAAGCAGGAAAGGAGTAACGGTTATAGAAACAGGGCTCATACTTTTAACAAGGCTAGTTAGGGAAGGCCTTAATGGAGAAGCCGATATATAAGCAGAAAAGATGCCCTATAGGAGATAGAGGTCTGTAGTATGTACCTTTGTTGAAGAAGAGAAATCCAAATAGTAGAAACAGCAAGTGTAAAGGCTGTGAGGTGAAACATAATTTGACCTGTTTGAGGGGAGCAAGAAGTGCAGTAAGGCTACTAAAGAGTGAAAGATGGGTCATAGAGGATGGACATTTTTTTCAATCTTGTAAAAAATAATTTATAATATTAACTAAGCATATGTTATAAGATTAATAATTTTACAATTAATAAATGTACAATATACTATATAAATTTACCAATGTGAGGTAATATTGGACAAAGACAAAGTAATAACACTAGAATCTTTAACATTAATATTATTCAGTGAGCAAAAGATCAGTACTTTTTTGTGGTACTGGGTTTGAACTCATAGCCTTGCACTTGCTAGGCAGGTGTTATACCACCAAGCCATAGTCTCACCCCCTTTTACATGCATAATTTCTTTTTTGGAGGACAGATTGGATTTGAATTTGTTGTTTGCTAGGTAAGTAGTCTCTAACACTTGAGCCACACCTTCAGCCTGGATCAGTGTAATTTGTAACTTATTTAAAAGTATAATTTCATTCATCCTAAGAGATTAGACAAGAAGATATATGTCAATGGCAGATCTTATTATTTACTCTCAAGGGCTATGCTTGATAGAACTTGGACTTTTGTTTTTATTCTGCTAAGCAAAGTGGAGTATGCAGAAAAATTTGTGGTTCTTCAGTAGATTAAACAGAATTACCAAATAACCCCACAATTTCACTCTTCAGTATGTGTGTGTGTGAGAGAGTGTGCCTACACACAGATACCCCGAAGAATTGAAAACAGGCATTCAACAAAAACCTTGTACACAAATCATAGCAACACAATTCACAATAGTCAAAAGGCAACATAACCAAGATGTCTTTCTGCACAAATGTGTAAGTAATATGTGATATAGTCATTCAAAGTAATATTAATCTGACATAAAAGGAACAAACAAGGTACTTATACATGTCACAAAATAGCTGTATATTGAAAGCATTGTGTTAACAGAAAGAAGTTAGTTAGACCACATATGATTCCATTTATCTAAAATTCCAAGAATTTTCAAATCATCAGAGATAGCAGTGGAGAGGACTGGGGGAAGAAAGGAAAGGAACTGCTTAGTGGGCATGACATTTCTTTAGACTGATGGAATGCTTTGGAACTAGATAAAGGTAGTGTTTTCACAATACTGCCAGTGCCACAAATGGTAAATTTCATGCTATGTATATTTCACTACAATTTTAAAAAATGAAGTATAGGGCTGGGAATGTGGCTTAGTGGTAGAGTGCTTGCCTACTGTGCATGAAGCCCTGGGTTCAATTCCTCAGTACCACATACACAGAAAAAAACAAGCTGGAACTGGTGCTGTGGCTCAAGCGGTAGAGTGCTAGCCTTGAGCAAAAGAAGCTTAGGCACAGTACCCAGACCCTGAATTCAAGTCCCATGACTGGCAAAAAAGAAGTATATTACTGCTGAAAAGATTGCCAATTCTTTGTGAAACCCAATAAGATCTGACAGGGAATAGTAAATCCTCAAGAAGGAAATCATGGCAAATTCAGGGCAAAGTAGCAACAGCCATTTGAGGGCTGCAAGGTAAGGATTAGATGTGCCAGTTGAGGTCATGCCTTGTAAGCAGTCTTGTGGCACCTCTGGTGTCCCCCACAACTGGTGACAGTTTTCAGTGTGACATGGTTTGTTTGAAGGTCTCATATTAAACTGTGTAATGCTGTTGAATATGGAACTGTTTTCCCCCTTAAAAATGTATAGAAACACAGCAGATACAAATTTTAACTGCACTGATGCAAGCATATTTTCAGTTTACCCGATGAAGAGGTAGGATCTGGTGGTGCTATTATAAATTTAAAGTTGTACAGAAAGTTCCTAGTTATTGATGCACATGTTTATATATATATTTTATTGTAAAAATACTGTACAGAGGGGTTACTGTTACATGAGTAGGGTAATGAGTGCATTTCCTATCGAGCATTGTTACCTCCTCCTTTGTTTTTCCCCTACCATCCCTTCCTCCCTACCTCCCCATCTCCTCCCTCCCACCCCAAACTGTAAAGTGAAATTGTAAAGTTCATTTTCAACATAGCATCTTGAACATCTCACTGTTACAATGGGTCAACCTGTATCCTTATTTCAGCATTTTGTTATATCTTTCCCCCTCCCCAAATTATAAAAATGTATATACAAGATGCAGGACACCAGAATCCAATACAGTGAAAGCAGGGGTTACACCATGGGGGAAGAACACACAAAAGAAACAAAAGAATCACATAGTACATTAAAAGTACATTAAAAACAATAGCAAGAAAGAAAAAAACCCACTTGTGTCCCTATCCTGGGGTTCATTTCACTTAACATCATCTTATATGGTCATATGTATATAGCTTTTGACCTTTACTGCTTGTCCTAGACATGTACTAGTTATTGCAAATAATGGAAACTATGGGACCTATGTTTCTTTGGGCCTGGCTTACTTCACTTAGTATATTTTTCCCCAAGTCTTTCCATTTCCTAACAAATGGGGTGATGTTGTTCTTTCTGATGGAGGCATAGAATTCCATTGTATATATATATATATATATATATATATATATATATATATATATCACATTTTTTTGATCCATTCATCTACTGAGGGGCATCTGGGTTGGTTCCTTATCTTAGTTATGGTGAATAATGCTGCGTTGAACATGGTTGTGATGCACATGTTTTTTATGCTCATCCTTGATAATGTGCCACATGCTCTGTTCACATTGGTTGAAGATAAGAAAGGAAGAAGCTTTCACATGATTTTTCTTTGTGACTATGAAGTGTGACTTTGATTATTAGAAAAACCCAGAAAAAGTACAAATAGGTTTCAGAAAAGAAATAAATCTCTTCAATTACTTGCATTACTGTCGATATTTTGGCCTAGATAATTCTGTTTCCTCCCTTCCCCCTTTCCTCCCTCCTTCCCTTCCTCCCTTCCTTCGTTCCTTCCCTCCTTCCTTTCTTCCTGTTTGATTTATTTTATGCCAGTGCTGGGGCTTACACTCAAGGACTTGGTGCTGTCCCTTAGGTTTTTCACTCTCTCTTGAGCCACAGCTCCACTTCTGGCTCTTTTCTGGTTACCCAGAGATAAGAGTTTCACAGCTTTTTTTTCTTCTAGGGCTTGCTTTGAATTGTGATCCTTAGGTCTCAGCCTCCTGAGAAGCTAGGATTACAGGCTTGAGCCATCTGTATCAAGCTCTTTTTTGTATGACTACACATGTACTTGTATCTTGAGTTTCACTAGGATCAGCATAGCATGAATATTTTTATACCAATAAATACAAATCTACATTTTAGTAATGATGGTAGGGTGTTCCATTTTATGCATAGTCTTAGCTGATTATTCCATGACAAATACTGAAAGCCTGGGGCTGTCCTTACAGTATGTACTGTGTGGTCAGTGCTCTGTCAGAGATGGTTACTCAAGCTTTTAAAAATTATGTTCTTTTTTTGTGTGTGTGCTGGCTAATGATAGTCTGCAAAGCAGAGGTAATGAACAATCTCAGTACAATTTCTGTTGCTGTAACAAAATGCTAGAGATAGGTAGTTTATAAAGAATAGAAGTACCTTTGGCTCACTGTTTTGGAGGTTGGAAGTCAAAGAACATGATCGTGGCATCTGATGAGGGCCTTGTTGCATCATAACATGTTGGACAGAGTAGGAACAGAGCAAGCTGCCTAGCTTAGGGCTCTCATTCTCCTTTTACAAAACCACTAAAGCCACCATAAGGTGGAGGTGTCCCACCTTGATGACCTCTTCTAATCCTAATTACCTCCCAAAGATCCCACCTCTAAATACCATTAATATGAATTTTCCAACATGTGAATTTTTGGGGGGATATATTCCCACCATAGTATGGACAGCAAAGAGAAGAGAGATCTACAAAATAATCAGCTCCAATCCCATGGCCCTTAAAGAGTTTTTTCTTTTTGCCAAGTCCCATGCCACCCAGTTATTCCATCTTCTTTCCCAGCAGAACAGGGGAACTAGAGAAGTATATAGGAGCAGAGGATTTGAGGTCACACTATATAGCTTCACATTTTGGAGCTGGAAACCTAAGATGAATTACTAAACAGCTTTATGCCTCACTTTTTTTCATCTGTAGAATGAGGATAACAACAGTACCTATCTGCTAGGTCAGAAGAGATGTTCCAGGGCTGGGAAGTTGGCTCAGTGGTAGAGTACTTGCCTCACATGCATGAGGCCCTGAGTTCTATTCCTCAGCACCACATAAGCAAAAAGAAAAAAGCCGGAAGTGGCACTGTGGCTCAAGTGGTAGAGCGCTAGCCTTGAGCTG